AGAGTATGTCCTTTTCTACGTGCATCTTTACCCCCACTCCTTAAATAAAGGCAAACGCTCGGTCTAGATATACTATGTCTATGGGTATCACATACACGCACTACACACGCATCGCCGCCATTTTATTGTAAGGTGTCATGGCCGAAACCGGAAATCCGGTTGGCCACAGCTTTTCATATGTCAAAGCCCGAAGTTAGCGATATAGGTTTAGTATAGACATCTGTGGTTAATATATAATAACACATTAATGTGTAATATATATAGACAAATCTAAATAATTTAATTTATGAAATTAAAAGATTTTATTTATACGGAAGTTAATTAATTTTATCTTAAGTAGACAATAATTAATGACTTTCACTTATTCGGACACTTCCGATCCGATCGGGTATTTAGCTGTCCGATTTTCTAAAAATCAGTTCAATATCTGAATTTTCCTGTATCGTGTCAGAAATTAAACTAAATAGTTGTGTTGTTATCAATCGTCTTTTGCAGGCTTTATATACATTCAGACATACATCAAGACTAAACTTGAATACGAGTATATAGAATGAATAGTGCGCCGCATAGCGGTAAGCGAATGAACTATAAACCCGCGGCAGTCAATCACTAGCGGTTTTTCCGTAAAAGTATAATGTTCATTAAGGACTAATTAATATCGGTTATTATACATAATTATACGCTCAGCGGGTGGCAAAACAGAACAGACATATGATATGCTAGGTTATTATACATAACTATACGCTCAGCGGGTGGCAAAATAGAACAGACATATGATATGCTATCTCTTTCTCTCATCAGATATAGCCATAAACATCGTCAATCTCCAGACTCATATATGATATATTGACAAAAATTTGACCTTGACGATATGAAGTGAATATGACCACATGACCACAAATATGTTTTATAAGATTATTTTTCCAACAAGAGAATTTTTCGGTTTTTATTATGATGTTACATACATATTGTTTACTTAGACAAAGAGTTTCATAAATAATGTACTGCTATTGTGTAAATATTAAGTTTTAATAGTGTCTAAAAAAATTCAATGACAAAATTACATGGCATCTAATTCAGATATTTTTAGATGTTGTTTTAGACTAGATGGCTCCGACATCTAATAGATGTATATCCGATCTCGCGTTTCTCCCTGGGTAAGATAACATGATATCTTGGCTTCAGACCGGAAGAAGAAGAAGAAGAAGAATCCTATAAAAATAACTCGATGGCGCTAGTGTCATTGGTGGTCTTTCTAATTGGTCCTGTAATTTCCCCTAGGATGCGCTGCCACACTACTTGCTCACGAGCGTTGTCAAGGGTGCTTTGGGACACCCTATATATGTAGATAGAATTTACTTATAAATAAGATTTGTAAATATACAAAAGCAAATTACTTTATTAATTATAACTATATTATTATTAACAAAGAATTGTATCAACATATATTGAATTACACTTAATAAATTAGAATCTTTATAAACAACAGTTGATTTAAAAAAAGTTAATTATTTACTATTTATGTTAAGAGTTCTTCTCCTTCGATTACTTCATTTAAATTAACTAATTCTAATAAAGCAGTACCCTTTGTTTCTGATCGTATCAATTCATCTATTCCTCTATATTGACCTGGATCAATTAAGCAAATTATTGTTAATGATCTATTGTCCCATGTCTCATTTTCCAATTTAGTTATTAATTTAGTGACTTTGTCTTTCAATTTTCTTGCTTCTTTTTCTGGGATAACAATCCTAAGCCGCATTTGGGCACGTTCCAGAGGCATCACTTCTTTCAATTGCGAGATGACATCTAGTGCCTGTTGTTTGGCATTCCGATTAGGTTTAACGGAAAAATGTATTTCCTCTCTCATGGCATTCTCGATCATGGAAACTGGATATGGGTGTTTAGTTTCTGGATTTATACATTTGCTAGCAACTGTTGTGGCAATATCTTTGAACATGGAATCTAAAGCTGAATGCCTTTCTTTATCAGAAACTTGGAGCTCACCTTTGGCAAGAATCTGTTGGCATATTTCAGTCTGATTGTCAATGCCAAAAGCTTTTATGAGATCTTCCTTCTTTGCCACCTGACCCTTTGATACATTAGTGAATATTGTATGCGTTTGCAGTACTTCATCAATATCTTTTTCTCTAAAATATATTTCAGAATTAAATAATAAACAATGCATATCACATTTATTTCTGCATGATAAAAAAGATCTTAGATAATAAAAGATACTCTGGTTAGAGCTGGTAAAAGCAGCTGGTTAGAGATAAGTGATGTGCTATGACTTATTTGAATAGATATTGACTTAATAGACATTAATGGAAAGATATCAGAATGTAAACTAATATAACAGATAAAAAACAGAGAAGATAATGAAATAAGATAGTCTCGCAGATAAAATTGTTAAGATTATAAGTAACACGTGATAATATAAATCTTATGACAATGTGTATTCTTATGTGTACATGTGAGAAGAGAAATTATATAAATGACGTTACATATGTATAGATAGATAGAAATATCTTTATCAGCCGCAATCTATTTATTGATACACAAAGACTTACAATTTATTTCTCCAGGATATTACTTTATTCTTGTAACAGGCAATTTCAAATCGCTTGCCACCTTTCTTCATGCGAACGACAGCAACGTTCGTCAGTCTTATTTGATTCGTCGGTGTAAATATTATCGACATTTTTGCAGTAAATTCTGAAAAATCAACCTGGCATAGCCAACGTATCGGCTATTTCGAACTGTCTAATTGATAATATTCTTGTTTATTTCTATTTAAACTTTGAGATGTTGCAAACACCGTTGCATCAAATTACGCGATGAGTGATTGAGAGACACATGATGAATCTTCGTATGTGGGTTGGCTCCGACCATAGACATAGTATATCTAGACCGAGCATTTGCCTTTATTTAAGGAGTGGGGGTAAAGATGCACGTAGAAAAGGACATACTCTGTTTCGTGCTCCTTGCGTTCTCTCTCGCTCGCATGTAGCATAGCGTACTCTTTCACTATGCTACATGCGAGTGAGATAGAACGCAAGGAGCACGTGTGGGCTTCTCAATAACGAACACAGGAATATTTAGTAAATTACTTAATTCTTTATTGTATACAAATAGAAAACTCAAATTTTTTATCACAGTCGTTACCCAGAGAGAAACGTGAAGTCGAATAGATGTATAGTCGACGTCTATTCGACACATCTAAGATAGATCGACTTTCGCATCTAGATAGACGTCATGATGGCCTCTTTTAGACGTTTAATAAACATCTCATTTTCTAACGTTTTTTCGACGTCAAAAATAAGACCAATTACAGTGTTAATATCACAGTTATCTATACTACTACTAGATCGCTAACTTCGTCAAAAGAGCTGTGGCCGGCCAGATTTCCGGATTCGGCCATGACACCTTACAACAAAATGGCGGCGGTGCGTGTGTAGTGCGCATAGACATAGTATATCTAGACCGAGCGTTTGCCTTTATTTAAGGAGTGGGGGTAAAGATGCACGTAGAAAAGGACATACTCTGTTTCGTGCCCCTTGCGTTCTCTCTCGCTCGCACGTAGCATAGCGTACTTTTTCGCTATGCTACATGCGAGTGAGAGAGAACGCAAGGGCACGGAACAGAGTATATGTCCTTTTCTACGTGCACCTTAGCCCCCACTCCTCAACACTCGGTCTAGATATACTATGTCTATGGTCGCACGTCTCTTTTATCCATAGACATAGTATATCTAGACCGAGCGTTTGCCTTTATTTAAGGAGTGGGGGTAAAGATGCACGTAGAAAAGGACATACTCTGTTTCGTGCCCCTTGCGTTCTCTCTCGCTCGCACAGAGCATAGCGCTCTCTTTCATCATGCTACGTGCGAGCGAGAGAGAACGCAAGGGGCACGAAACAGAGTATGTCCTTTTCTACGTGGGCATCGGCCCCAATGTTGTTCTCGGGGACGCTTTCTCGCGCATGCGCGTTAAACATGGCCTTAAGATACGTGTCAAATTTATAAGAAAAAGGGTACTGTTAAGCCCTCTGCTCAGATAATGTTAAGAATAATCTAAAATGTTTTACAAATTAATGAATCACAAATAAATAATAAAAAATTAATAAAAGACGATTATAATTAGCTTAAAAAATTTCTGGCATTAAACATATTATTGTAAGTAATGTACGTACACAAATATGTACTACATACGCCGTCGCTGGATTTCTCTACCAATGCGCTGCGCATGCGCGAGAAAGCGTCCCCGAGAACAACA